TGTTATTACATATGGGACATTTGGTTACATATAGATGCTGACATATATATGTGGGACATATTTTATTACATATAGGGGTCTCACTTTATATGCATAGTCCACTGTAGTCCCCTATAAATTATCTACTGATGTTCAAATTGTTTACAAACTATCTGGTGAAACTCAGGTGATCCTAAACAGTGGTGGGGTTAGGGTTAGGATTTGGACCAGGGTTAGGATTCGGACCAGGGTTAGGGCTAGGACCAGGGTGAGGGTTGGGTTTAGGTTTGGGTTTAGTTTAAGGTTAGGGTTAGGATTAGAGCAGGTTTAGAGTTAAAGAAAAATGTTCTTAATTTTAAATGGAAATAAGTGGAGAAATATTTCTTTCCAAGTCATTTTGGATCATTTCTGTTGGTCCATTCACCATGATATTGTGACACAACTCAAAGGGCAACTGCCTTCAAATTATGCCAAAATATTAAAAACGACAAAATGGAGTTTTTGTCCCGACTGCACCAATATAAATACTTACATATGCAATACATATAGGACATATGATTGTTACATATAAATGCTTACATATATATGCAGGGCATACTAATATTACGTATAGATACTTATGTATATAGTTGTGCCAAACTTGAGCAAATTAAAAAGATATTCATCTGGTCCATTAATGGTTATTTCCTCTACAAAAACAACACTATTACTATTTTCAGAATATAAACAAATAACACTAATACAATAAGTAATGATTTGATGTACGTCAGTGTATTCATTTAACCATGTCCAAGCCTCTTTTCATGGCAGCCCAGTATTATTTATAGCTATGATCTAATACCTCAATCAATACTTCATATGCTTAATCAGGTGAGCTGCAGATGGGTTTAAATAAACTGAAGAGAAATCTGGAGCTAAGCTTTTGTTCTTTTAACCAGCTCATAAGATATTAACTACATTTTTGAAAACAAGACATTTTGTTAAAATTTATTGTATTTATGTATTGATTCTACTGATATACTGAGTTTTTCTTACTTGCAAAACACAGTCACTTATGAGATTATGAGATTATCATGAAATGGTTTTTAACCATTTACTAAAGTGTCATTTGTATAGTATTGCATATAATATATATATATATATATATATATATATATATATATATCCTGACAGGGTGTAAAAACATGGAGCATAATACATGCTTCCCTAAATGGGTCCTCTTTGTTTTGTAATGCCAAGGTCAGTCTCCAAGCACAAATGGATGAGGTCAGGGGTTAAGGTTTGTCAGCAAATGCTCCATTTCTCCCTACACTTCCTTCCTCTTAGACAGAAGAAACTTATATAAGGCATCAGACCCATATATAGAGGATAAATGTGAAGGTTTAGCGTAGGTTTTTTTCCATTAACAACACTTTTCACCAAATGTTTCCATGACTTAGAACTGACAGCATGACATTAAAGAGCAAACACAGCTTAGGGTGAGTCACCTCAGCAATTTGCATTTGGAGCTGTGTTTCATATCAGGAGGTTTTAGTTACATCCCACTGGATCAGCTGAAACATCACCAAAGCTACTTCAGGTCTCATGACTAGAGGCAGTTTACCACCCCAAAGCTGGGTTAAAGTAATAGTTATGTGGAAAATCAAATTTACACACCATGGGAAACACATAGCAACACCTCAGAAACCAACTTAGATACCATAGCAACAACAACACAACATCTTAAATGGTCAGACACCCAAGCAACCACCAGAGATACCATAGCAATTGATTAACAACACTCTTGCAACTACTTGGGATACAACTGCAACCGCCTAGCAACACCCCTATAACCACCTGAAACACCACTGCAACCACCTAGCAACAGTCTAGGAACAACCATAGATACCATAGGAAACAACTTGCAACACCCTAGCAACCACAAGAGACACCAAATCAACCACCTTGCAATACTCTAGCAGCCACCTGGACTACCATACCAACTGCCTTGTAACACCCCAACAAACACCTGGGATACCATAGCAATGACCTTGCGAAGCTCTGGCAACCACTTGGAATATCATAGCAACCAACTAGCAACCACCTCTAAACCAAATCAACCCCTAGTAACCACCTTACAACACCCTAGCAACCACCTTGCAACACTCTAGCAGCCATCTGGAATAACTACCAACTGCATTGTAACACCCTAACAAACACCTGGGACAACACTCTAGCATCCAACTGAAATACCATAGCAGCAACCTACAAACACCCTAGCAGCCAACTGGAATACCACAGCAATCACCTCATGACACCCTAGCAACCACCTGGAATACCGTAGCCTGCCACCTAGCAACCACCTGGAATGCCAAATCAACCCCTAGCAACTACTAGAGATTAGCAATTGGTTAGCAACACCCTTATAACCACCTGGCACACCACTGCAACCACCTAGCAACACTCTAGGAACCACCATAGATACCATAGCAACCACCTTGCAACACTCAAGCAACCAACTGGAACACCATAACAGCAACCTACAAACACCCTAGCAACCACCTGGAATACCTACCAACTGCCTTGTAATGCCCTAACAACCACCTATCAACCACCTGGAATGCCAAATCAACCCCTAGTAACCACCTTGCAACACTCTAGCAGCCACCTGGAATACCTACCAACTGCATTGTAACACCCTAACAAACACCTGGGACAACACTCTAGCAACCAACTGAAGTACCATAGCAGCAACCTACAAACACCCTAGCAGCCAACTGGAATACCACAGCAATCATCTCATGACACCCTAGCAACCACCTGGAATATAATAGCAACCACCTGGAATACTGTAGCAGCCACCTAGCAACCACCTGGAATGCCAAATCAACCCCTAGCAACCACCAGAGATACCAATGCAACCACCTTGCAACACTCTAGTAGCCACCTGGAATACCTACCAACTACTTTGTAATACCCTAGCAACGACCTGGGATACAGTAGCAATGACCTACCAACACCCTACCAACCACCTGGAATACCATAAAAGCAACCTACAAACACCCTAGCAGACAACTGGAATATTATAGTAATCACCTCGCAACACCGTAGCAACCACCTGGAATACTGTAGCAACTACCTAGCAACCATCAGGAATGCCAAAATTAAAACTGCACAATCACTTTTCTGGTTGTAATTAACCAAAACAGTGAAAGTAAAATCAGCCCTGGGTTCACTGGGTTAAATGGTTTTTAATCATTCCATAAAGGAAAAGTGAAGCCTTTTGAGCCTGAGCCTCGCGGATGCATTAAGGCAGAGTGTGCTGGAGTTTGGGAGCTGCGTGTTCCTGTCACATTTAAATGATTAGTGACCGCTCCTGAGGGCAGCAGATGACTCTCTCCTGTCTGTCACTCGGCCCGTTCTCCTCCCATTAGCCAAGAGTCTGTGTGCCGTCTCGCAGGTCTGTGTGAGCTGTGAGGAAATGTGGGATTTAATGGAGGGTGTTTGGGGTGTGAGCTGAGATCTCTTCTGTCAGATTTGAGATAGAAACACGGCTGAGCTGCAGCTAACGGGAACCATGTGTGCTTTTTTTCCTCCTCTCTCCCATCTGCTCTCTCTCTACCACTCCCCTCCTCCTCCTCCTCCTCCTCTCTCTCCCTCCATTTTTCCCCCCACTTCCCTTTCTCCCTGTCTGTTTTTGTTTTCCAAACAAAGCGCCCTGAACAGGAAATTGTGGGACTCTGGGAGCGAACAGGAAGTCAGGGAGCAGATTTCCTGTTTCAAAAGCAAAAAAGCATGGCTCAAAAATGAAGAGGAGAGAGGGAGAGAGAGAGAGAGAGAGTGAGAGAGAGAGAGGGAGAGAGGGAGAGAGAGAGAGAGAGAGAGAGAGAGAGTAAAAAGGTCTGCTGATTTAACTTACATTCTGTCAACTTATTTGAAGTTCAATGAACTCACAATTTTAAGGCGGGCTGGTTATTAACGTTTTCAAGTTCCACCGATTTTTCAAAATTCCAGCATAATTCAGTGTTTGAGATGTAAACAAAGTCATTCAGAGTGGTTTGGTGTGAAATGCTCTGTTCTAGAGAAACTTACAGAGTCAGAATTGTTCACAGTGGTGGTGATAGGAACCAGACGTCCACCTTTAAAAGCTCCCTCACAGAAAGTTACTACATGAAACATTCCATATAAAACTAAGACTCATGTAGGTTCACTGGTGGTTTTGGATAGTAAATAAAATGTCTATATTTGTGTTGTAGTCATGGAGACCCCTGATTCCTATCAGCACCACTGTAAAGAAATCTGAACCATTTCACACCAAACCACTCTGAATGGCTCTGTTTACATCTCAACCACTGAATTATGCTGGAATTTTGAAAAATCTGTGGAATTCCCCTTTGAAACACCAAAACTTTTTTTTACAGTGCAGAAAAACAAAAAGGTAATAAGAGAGAGAGAGAGAGAGAGAGAGAAAGAGAGTGAGAGAAGGGGGGGGGGTGTTAAAGAGGTCAGTAATCTGTTGACCAGTGCAGAACACACAGTCACCCCCCCACCCCCCCACAGAAAAAACTCACTCTGACATTTCAAACCACCTCTGAACGACAGACCCCACAGACTGAGAGAGAGAGAGAGAGAGACATACAGACAGACAGACAGACAGACAAAGAGAACGAGAACAAAAAGAGAGAGAGAGAAATAAACAGAGAAAGAGAGCGAAAGAGAGACATAGAAACAGACAGACAGATAGACAAAGAGGGAGAAGTAAACAGAGAGAGTAAGAAAGAGAGAGTATAGAGAAAGAAACAGATAGAGAGAAAGAAAAAGAAAGAGAAACAGGTATATTTAAAAGAGAGAGAAGAAAAAGGGAGAAACAGAGAAAGAGTAAGGGTGGGAGTAAAGAGAAATAGAGAGAAAAGGAGAGCAGAGAGAAAGAAAGAGAACAGTGAGATAGAGAATAAGAGAGAGAAGAAAGAAAGAAAGAACAGAGAGATAGAAAGAGAGGAGAAAGAGAGAGATAAGAGAGAGAGCAAAGAATTAGAGAGAGAAAGAGAGAAACAGAAGAAAGAGTAAGAAAGAGTGCGAGTAGAGAGAGAGAAAGAGAGACTGAGTGAGAGAGAGATACAGAGAGATAAGAGAGAGAGAGGCTTCTGTGGATCACTTCCTCTGGCTGACAGGCGTCCGAGAGTTGGGGGCGGTGAAGAGGAGAGGAAGAGAGAGGAAGAGGGGGTCAGAGGGAGCCGGGGAGTAAAAAAAGGAGTGAAAAAAAAGAAAAGAGCGAAGGAAAAAAGAGAAGAGGAACGCCTACGCTGGAGTAAGCAGAGGAAGCCAGCTCACTCTGACAGGATTTTTCTGCAGCTGAGGTTTCTGAGGCTTTCCTTCTTCTTCTCGGGACGTTTTTCACTCCTGCGTCTGTAACTCACCTCGCAGACCGTGGAGAGGTAGAGAGTAGAGAAGAGGGGGAAAGAGAGAGAGAGTGAGAGAAAAAAGGAAAGGCTGATGGAGGAGTGACGTCAGGCTCGGTGCTGGACTTCAGAATTCCTCTCCCACACCAGCCTCGCCGGACTTCCAGCCAAGATGTGAGCCGACAAGTCTGTTTTTGTGCTGGACGCTGGACTTCCTGAGTTTCTGGAGGTTTTCTCCCTCTTCGTTCTCTTTGGGTGGGGGTCCATAGTCTCGCTTGGTGTGGTGGGGGGTGTCCAATGCTTGCTGTTACAGCTTGTTGTTGTTTACTTTGATCTGGATAAACCTCGAGCCCCAGATGAAGAATAAAGCCTCCAAGCAGAAGTCCAAGCGGAAAGGAAGCGAAAATGCGTTCGGCTGTGACTTGACGGAGCACCTCCAGAATTCAGGACAAGAAGGTACAACTTTTCTCCTTTTTTTCTTCCTTCTCCCCCTCCTTCTCTCTCTTCTCTCTCCACTCTCTCGCCATTCAGAAAAGGCTTTTTCCCCCTCGCTCTCCTCCTCAGGCCGTAGCTGGGTTTATTACAGTATAACGGGCTCCCCTTCAGTATAAACACCAGCAACGTGGAAGCAACCAACACCCAGTTTCTCCCCCGGCATCCTGAGAGCGGCCCGGGACTCAGAAACACGCTTATGACCTTTATACCTCTTTGTGAACCTCTTTATGAAACGCGATGTGAAGTTCCAGCGTCCCAGAAAACAAAATGCTGACTGACATTTTCCATTCAGTCAATCAATCAGATCTTTATTCAGGCCCACAGAGCTCCATTCACACCCCAACTGTAATTCACGGACTGTAAAGAGAACAAAAACACAACACACATCCAATACTGTTTATACAAACAGGACTAAGTAAGATAAAACACATGAAATAAAACAAACGATAGAATCAGTGGTCGTTTGTTCATTTCCATCATCATATAAACGCATAAACAAATAAATGGGTGAATACAAAAGAATATTTGTAAATAAATAAATAAATCGCTGTCAGGACAAAACTTAATTTTCATTTTTAGTTGTTTTGTATTTTATTACTTAATTTAAAAAAGTATCAAATAAGTATTCATCTGTTTATTAATATATTAAGATTACTTAGATACCATCTCTATGTAAGATCTTAGTAAACCCTATATATACCCTATATAGATGTGTACACACTTTGTAGACACCTTATAGACTCCGTGTAAACACTATATGGACATTGTGTAGACACTTTGTAGACTGTGTAAACACTTTGTAGACCCTACGTAGATTCTGTGTAGGCCCTATGTAGACTCTTTTTAGAACCCGCAGACTCTGTGTAGACACTTTGTAGACCTATATAGAGTCTGTGTAGACACTTTGTAGACCCTATAAAGAGTCAGTGTAGACTTTTTGTAGACCTAGAATCTGTGTAGACACTTTGTAGACCTAGAGTCTGTGTAGACACTTTGTAGACCCTATATAGAGTCTGTGTAGACTTTTTGTAGACCTAGAGTCTGTGTAGACACTTTGTAGACCTTGTATAGACTCTATGTAAACACTCTGTAGACTGTGTGTAGACACCTTGTAGACCCTATTTAGACTCTGCATAGGTTCATTACAGACTCTGTAAAGACTGTAGATATATAGATTCTGTACAGATTATATAGTATCTGTGTAGACTTTATAGATTTGTAGACTTTGTAGGCTATGTATGTTCTATAGTGACTCTGTATAGGCTATTTGTAGACTTTATATAGACTCTATGCAGAACATATAGCCTATATACAGTCTCTACATAGACTGTGTAGGCTCTTTGTAGTCCCTCTGCAGGCTATTTGTAGACTTTATGTAGACTCTATACTTAGACTATATAACCTATATCCAGTCTCTGTATAGACTCTGTGTAGGCTCTTTGTAGGCTCTATATCAGGCATGTTAAACTGGGGACTGAATTCAGTTCATGAAGGTCTTGCTAATTAGCAGTATCAGGTGTGTTTAATGAAGCTGTGTGCTGAAGTCTGTAGTGCTTTGGCCCACAAGGACTGGAGCCTGACACATGTGCTTTATATAGACCCTATGCAGATCTTATATAGACTCTATGTAGACTCTTTCTTTCTCTCTCTCTCTCTCTCTCTCTCTATACACACACACACATATATATATATATATATATATATATATACACACACACATATATATAGCACTTTGAGATTTTGGTAAAGTGCGAAGGGCTATATCAATAAATATGATTATCATCAGCATTACTATTACCACATTGACTTGTTAGCTCAAAGAGAACTGTTTGAGCTTCAGGGTTTCAGCTTGGGTGTTTCTCCAGATTCTCTAAGCATGTTTGGAGACAGATTCCTGCTTGAGTTCACTAAGAAAACAGTCTGGGTGAAGGATAAATAAGGCAGAAGGAGGGAAAGGTGGGGGAAGGTGAGGGAGAAGAGATGGTCAGAGTTTTCTCTGAATTGCTTGGACATATTTCAGTCATTTCCTCTTCACATAAAGGCCATTCTGAGGCGGTTTGTGACTTTGTTGGTCGTGGGCGTGGCCCCAGACCCACCCTTCAGTTTTCTGCCCATGTGCATTTCCCTGCCCCTTTGAACTGTGGGCTAATTGCAGGAAAAGCTAGTCACCCTTTTAGACTGATCTCAGATCAGCTTTATGGTCTTCCCTTTAATAACTATGAGCCGCAGAACTGACCCCAGAGCAGCGAAAGAGGCCAGTGGGATTGTGTAAGAGTCTTTTGTTTTAGATCCTGTTTACCCACACATTGCATTCATCTTGGCAGCCACTAAAGCTTGGCAGTTTGTGCATGTACCATTTTTTTTTTCTGTTAGGAGTGAAGAAAATAACGCTATTCTTTTTCTGGGTGCATATTTGTAGCTGCTTGTGGGTTACAGTAAGTACAGATTCATCAGCAAAAAGTGCTGGAGGACTGTGACTGGGCTAAGTTACTCATGCTGTAAGACTAACATCATAGCAAACTGAAAAAAAGCTATTTTTTATATTTTTTTTACATTGTAAAAATGATTTATGGTTGAAAACATAAGCAACTGCTTTAAAATTCGGAATCCATTAAACCTCTAATTGATGTTAACAGAACAACAATTTAAGTCATTTGAAGTTAATAAAATCTAAGTATTACAGCAGCCTGGTTACTTACATTGAAGGGGATTCTACTGATTTTTCAAAGTCTTATTCAGAGTGGTTTGGTGTGAAATGGTTCAGATTTCTTTACAGTGGTGGTGATAGGAACCAAGGGTTGCCATGACTACAACACAAATATAGCCATTTTCTTTACTATCCACAACCACCAGTGAACCTACACACGTCTTCTGAGTTTTATATGAAATGTTGATGATGCTAAATTAGTGGAAAATCTGAAAAAATAAGTTTTCTTTGGGGACTATTTTGCCTCACAACACCCTGCATGTACCCCTCCACCACAAATGTGTTTTAAAAATATCAGAAAATAATGTCTCAGACATCAGACAGTGTATTCATAAACATGTCATGTAATAACTTTCTGTGAGGGAGCTTTTAGAGGTGGACGTCTGGTTCCTATCAGCACCACTGTGAACAATTCTGGCTCTGCAGGTTTCTCTGGAAGGGTGCATTTCACTCCAAACAACACTTTGCTTACATCTAAACCCTTTTAATATGAAAACATTTTATAAAATGGTGGAATTCCCCTTTAAGTTAAACCACCAACAGTGTGGAGACTTAAACACAGTCCTACAGTGAAACTTCTGATGCTCCATTTAAGCACACTTCGCAATTCACAGTTTCCAGAGTGATGCATGTGGTTTAAAGTTCAAATTTCTCTCCAAATTCATCATTTTTTTCTCACTGGGCAGTTTCCAACTGAGGCTGGTGTCTCTTGGCCCCAGAGCTGACTAACACATATTCCGCTTACACTAATGACTTTCCTCCAGAGACACTCTCTGAGCAACATCAGCAGCAGGATATGAGTACATGCTTAGAGAACGGCACGTTTTCTGGTGCATCTCCTCTTGAATGAATGGGAGGTCCATGTTTCAACCCACTGCCAGTCTGTGTAGATTCTACAAAGTCCCTCTGTAAACCCAGTGTGGACTTGATTTAGACTATAGACTATAGATTCTATGTAGAATCTACATAACTTCTATACAGAGTCTATATAGACTATGTAAACTATATAGGCCCTATAACTGTGTAGGCTCTGTATAGACTCGGTATCGGTCTCTGTGTACACTTTATGTACATAGCCTATATGTAGACTGTCTGTAGACTCCCCTACAACCTATGTATGACATATAGACTCTAGACTCCATATAGTCTAATGTTCTTGTTGGCTCTATACAGACTCTATGTAAACTGTGTAGATTATATATTGAATATACAGACGCTGTGTAAACTATGCAGACTTCATATAGACTATGTAGACTGTAAATGGTGTAGGTATTACATAGACTGCTCAGACTATGTAAACTGTGTAGATTATACATAGACTCTAGACAGACTATGTAAACTGCATGGCTTTTATGTAGGCTATGCAGACACTATGTTAACTGTAGACTCTACGTAGGCTGTACACAGACTGTGTAGTCTCTACATAGACTCTGTATAGTCTATGTAGACTCTATTTGGTTAGGTACAGAATCTGTATACACTATATAGACTACAAGGCTCTATACAGACTATATGTAGACTCTGTAAAGACTCTATTAGGACACTGAATCAGTGTATATACAGACTTCATATAAACTGTGTAGAATTTGTATAGACTCTGTACAGATTCTTTGCAGACTCTATATAGACTGTATTTAGGCTCTGTAGACTTCTGTGTAGACTATATATCATCTCCCAAACAGTAACTTTACAGGAAAACACAAAAACGTTCATTAATTTTAATGTCAGTCATTGTAAACAGGGATTTATTCCAACTGATTATGAAGCATTTCAATTGGTCCAAATTTGACATGATTTAAAGATTAGCCACCATGTTCTAATGATATAGAAAAATAAAAATCAGTATATGTGTAAACTGAGCAGATTCTGTGTAGACTGAATGTTGGCTCGATACAGACTATATATAAAGCTCATGTATTACCTCAGCTTAGTTCCTTCTTCTTTTTATCTTTAATTGATGCTGTCTTTAATAGCCTATAATGTGTTTTATATAGCATCACATGGTGAATGTTGTGGTCTCCTGCAAGTTCTCAGCTTGAACAGTTGTAAAAGCTGACATTGCTAGTGTGTATAAGCCTGTGCCTTTTTACCAATTTTAAATCATACTGAGAAAAAGAGTTTTGGTGCAAAATTCAACTTTGCCACTGTAGCTAACTGCGCTATTTCTAGCTCTAAATAAAATTGTAAGGCTTAAACCTCAAGGCTGTATAGAATACCTTATTGAAAGAAGCAGGTTACCTTGTCAAGGTAAAGT